CTATACTCAGACTCGATGTACTGTCAACAGACCAGAATATTCTGCAACTTGAAACAACAATAAGGGTCTTCACTGGAATGCCAAGTTTTTCACATTTCACAGAACATATTGCTAAAACTGATAAAACCAATTTATAAGTAAGCATGGATCATATGCTATTCCCATATTGCTTCTATACGGGTAACATTTGGCTATATACGAGTTGAAATAACATGAAGTGAACACAATCCCCTCCCCCTTCTTTCTTTTGTGCTTCTCATCAGCCACAGTTCTGTGGGAAATCAACACTTTATTTGAAAACTGAAAGAGAAGTTTTCTGTTCCACTGGCTATTTGATCTCTGTAAAGCCAGCTTTGACATAATGATTGCTTGCTTCCTTTTGGGGTTCAAGAATAGGAACAGTAAGATGTTGTCTACAGAAGAAACATGAACACAATGAGGAAGCAATAACTGCATCTGAGTTTTATATCTCATCCTACATGCCTTTTAACTGTGATGAAATAGTGTCCAGTTCAAAAATGCCTGTGGAGAAAAATATACCTGAGCCCAAGGCATATGCAAAAGAAAGCCACTACCTCTTCAGACTAATTTCCAGTCAGTGAAGAGCATAATTTATCCTTGCATGCAGTGTGTTGTCACCAATACTTATAGGCACTCTGAAAGCAGCGAAACAGAAACCATGATAGTAAGAAGAAACCAGGAAGAAACAAATCTTAAGTCTTCCTGAATACCCTGACAACTATCTTTTTTAATGTTCTGACAGGTGCATCTATGTGCAAGGCACTTATTTTACAAAACGGAGGAATGTTTTCTAAGTACTCAATATGCTTTCTTCTACAATGTCCCTGATTCATCTTCACTGTCTGTTATATATACCAGTCACAGATCTGCAAATGTTTGTGGAGAATCGTGAAATTTATTCTTGTTTCTCTGTACAAATTTCTATCATGTTACCCACCTTATTAATTACCATACTTTGAGAAATCATCTTTGCCTTTCCTTTTATACACTTAACATACCATTCACATGAATATATAAGACTTACATTTTCGTATAGGTACTAGCACTCATTGCAGGGTGTACACAGTATTAATTTTCTAAACAAGCCTTCCCTAACTTTGCACTCTCCATTATGTGGGGGACTATGCTGTCTATTATGTCTGGTAGCATACTAGTTGGTATAACAAGAGTTAGAGGGTTGGAACCTACAAGTAGTTTGGAAATAACAAATACATTAGGTCCCAATGACAGCATCACCACCATTTTTGCTGTAGAAATTCATATTTACCTTTTACAAGACAAAAGGACAAAGATAATTATTAGATGAGAATGAGAAGAAGAACTCAAGTCCCTGAAACAGTTGAATGATACATGTGCTCTAAAGAAGTGAAGCTTTCTCACTGCTGTATGACAACCTGCATCTGATCAAATTCCTGTCTAGCTGAATTGTTAAATATATGACCTTGCTAATCTTCATATCCATTCATAATTGCGTGTGTAAAAAAATGAAGAAAATTACTTCGTTCAAGTTCCACACTGCAGGTTTGCTCCAAAGACAATTCTGGCTCAGATATGACCGCGTACTATTATTCAAAATCACCCAGGAAAATCAAGGCCTGTGCAATCTTGAGACGCCAGACTGAGCCCTCACACACATACACATACACACACAACCACACCTTGGGCAGCCTTATTTTCCCCTCGCCCTTCCTTCCAGTCGACTTTTTTCTACCGTCCCCATCAAGACAATCCTTACTTGAAGGGCAGCACGAAAGCACACCGCCCACACCCGGCCTTCCTTCGGCCTATCTCTGGCCGTACAATTCAGGAAGAGGAGGAATCCTGCCGCGCTGACTCGCTCCCTCCCCGCCAGTTCCCGCCTCAGCGAAGGGCAGGAGAGCGCAAAGCCCCCTCGCTTCAGGCCTGAGAGGAGAATCCAGGCTAGGCCCCCGGGGCGCAGGCGGCGGCGGCGAGCCCCGCGGTCGCGAGAAAAGGCGCGCCAGACTCACCTGTGAAAAGCGGCATGGCTGGCGGGCAAGCGAGCAAGGGAACAGACTAGCTAAGGACCGAAGACGGGGCTCTAACAGCGCAGCGCTTCCCTGCCTGCCTGCTTGCTTGCCTGCCTCCCTCGGGGTCTTATTCAAACCGGGCCTTCAGGATGACGCCGCAAGCGGG